TTCGGTAAGCCAAAGCCCAACCCGCGGTGTTTGAAAACCGACTTTCATCGGGGATCGATGTTCGATTCACCGGATCATAAGCCAATAGTTAAACAACCTGGTTATAGCCCCGAGTGTTGGCTTTTCGTCCTCTCACTTCAGTGGGAATACTCCACCACGGGTAGGCGGTGAGTAGGCCTTCCTCAACAGAAACCATTAGACACGCTTGGTTGTGTAGAAGGACTTCTTGAGGTAAAAGCGAAGGGTGACCAGCCACAACCCAAGTCACCAACCCCAACCATACTGAGGGTCTGGGATGTGTGTACATCTCTCACATTGGAACTCGGAAATCAACCGAATCAGTCTTATTATCGGTACACGCCGCTTGGTTGTGATCTGAAGCAAAGTGGGTTGAACATTCGAATCCCGGGTGCACTTGAACAACTCGAGAGTAAACAGTTGGTCACCAGTCCAGTCTGTAATATCCACGTGTTGTTCTCGCCGTGAGACCTCGACAGCATGCTCTCTATGTTGGCGCTCGTCAGCAATGCCGCTTCACCGATTACATAATTCCGCTAACCCTGCTCGGGTTGTGCATCGCACTCGTTACCACCCGACTACTCGTGATTGTCCGAGCATAGTTGGTGTCACAAAATGTATAAATTTGTTTATATTTGTCGGACAACACATCACTATCTCCGGTGGCCAACACTGTACTGGAATCTTTTGACATAAATAAAAGATGCGATGATCGATTGTCAAAGTCTTCAAACAACCCGGTTCAGGTTTTCTAACGTAGCAGCTTCCAAATAGATTCATCTGGAGCTTTCATTTTGCACAAACATAGTCCAACTTTGAGGTTTCTATCACGATGTGATGTTACGATCGGCATCCTAAATGACCCAGGCACCTACACAAAACGGCCTTCACAGCTGCTGATCTAATCCAAGGTCGATTGGTGGAAACCTAACAAAATTCAACTGATTAGATTCTTGGATTTCTTTGATCGTCCAATCACATCTAGAAGGGCACTAAGTGAAACAACTTANACCCCCCCCCCCCCCCCCCCCTCCCACGATATATGACCGGGGGCCTCCAAGCTGCATTCCAACGGTGGGAGAACAAACATAACTTGAATAACATTCCCTAGAAGTTTCTCGCTGGCATCATACTGTGTCGATTATCTGCCTCATGCGAACGGTGTGTGGACTGGACTGTCTGAGGCCTTTGCGAACAGTCGCATCAATGGCACCGGATATCGTGATTTGGTGATCATTACGACGCCTGATTCATACAGTTTTTATTGTTCACATCTTAGCCAATTCGCATACATCAATTACCGTTTTGATGTGCCACATCTTACTGCCACAAGATTTTAGTACCTTGAATATAGTGTAGGCTGAAGTGATGTGGCTTAGGTCTTTACACCATATGGTGATGCGTATCTGGTAGCCACTAGGTGGTGAGCTCCACCGCTCGAAGAGGTTTGTGTGGGGAAGGGGGTTTGTGTATGATTTGTTTGTCAAACATCACAGCTGTGATTCTGTACTCCCCTCTCCTCGATTTCATAATCTAAACGATTTATCTTCTCCGAATAAACTGTCTAAATGTTATGAGATTACTTCATACCTCTGTCTTCACTTTCCGCTTTGTTTTGTTTTCCGGTTTCGCCTACCACCGCTTCGGTCACGCGAAGCGCGAGCAAGCTGAACTGTACGAACGTGTGGTCAGTTCGAACGAGCCTCGACTCACGTTCTACTACTACCTGCTCACATTTCACGGTCCCGGCTTCGCATCCTTTCTCACGGAACGCACAAATTGTCTGATTTATCGGACACAAGCCAAATTGATCAATTTGGTCAATATGCTACACGAACAATTTCCCCAGGCCACTGTACTGAACAATCCACCGGAACCGGGGCATGTGTTTGATCACCCGTGCATTTTCCCCTCAGGCAATGTGAAACCTGTTCCCATGCTGCCCGCGCATGTGGCCGCACGTGGAGTGGACGCGAAAATCAAAAGGTCAGTTTTTCCCGTTCACTTGTCCAGTTCGTTGTATCTACTAAATATTGCAATTGGACGGTCAATTTGGAGTAAGGGGACAACCGCCACTCAAGATCTGTCATCAGATATTCAGAACCGAAACTGTTTGGCGAACCACCAATTTTTTCTCGTAATCAAAACACTGTCTGCAAAAGGCTTCTGTGAAATGTAATGTTTAGTTTTCATACCAGACCACAGCAGGCACACGATTTCTGAACATATAGTAGGCAGCTCAAAAAAGGTCTGCTTGCCCAATGACTCCCTTGGATGCCCTGATCGGATTAATCCCATGTACTGTCGGATGATCTCGCAATTTGAACCGTAAATCATATTTCCCGTCTCCCCGATTTAGATAAATGTAATTTTTCGGTAAGAACGTAGAACGAATTCAATTTTTCGAATTGTTTGATTTTGCGCCTTTCGTCGTTACAACTCCCGATATCATGATTAGTTCTCCTTTCTGGGGGACGGGGGGACGGGACAAACAGTCACTTTATGTTCACACTGTTTGCTTTTCTCCGCATAGTATGGTTACTTTAAACATGCAATGAAATCCGAACATCTTCTCACTCTCTCCCGTCACAGCTACTACCTCCACAACCGAGTCGAGTGTTTCACTTATCTTCGTCCCGTACCGGTACGTCATGGATCGCGCCGTTGTTTTTTTCCCGTGAATAAGTTGCCTCACAGTCGTGCGTTGCATCCTTTAAATTATTTGCTCTATTGCCCGGTCGTTTTCTTATCTGGCCCGGACGGCCTTCCTTTTGCAGCGCTTATCAGCTACATCGTTACCTGATGGCTTTTTATCAGAAACCTATAGAACNGGGGGGGGGGGGATAGGGTGAATGCCATACCATGCCGACCGGGATCGTTGAATCAACTCGTTTCTCATTCCCCTGATTACTTTTATCCGACTCTTTGGCTCTAAGCTGACTTTAGTTCCTCACACACACACACACACACACGGTGAGTTTCAGCCGGTTCACCAGCACTAATGGATACCCAGTCACGGTCCCGTTGGCACCAGCATTAGAAAGTTTTCCATGTCGATATTTATGGTGCTAATCTCCGTTTTCGTTCAGCAGGGCGTCCGGTGACGGCTACATACATCGAAATTTCACTTTCCGGTCACCAGAGAGCATGACCGAATCATTGATGGCGCAGTGGTGGTACAAAAGCGATGACTTGCTTTGTTTTAAAGCAGCACTGTTTGGTCATTGTTTCCGGAGAACTGTTCTCACTCTTGTTCTTCAAAGATGAAAAAACTTACATTGAACGACAAACAGAAGATTTCTATGTATAATTATCACCGGCTTAGGAAAAAGCATAGTGTCAACGCATTAACATTAATAACAGAGGACGGGGATTGCGATGCAAAGCAGATTGAAATGGAGACAGTTGTTACTGATCTTTACTTAATATCTGAACTTATCGTTCGTGCGCCAAAAATACCACTGAGTGGGAACGTTTGATTTTGTAAAATGATGTTTTGTGATCAAATCATATTGAAAAAAAATTTCCCAAAGGTTCGCACACATACGGATAGTTCTCTATGGACGATTTTGTGTGATTGCTTGCATCATTCTCCATTGCTCTCCCTTATTTCTCCGTGGTCCAAGTCCCCAAATAATCTTCCGCCATATAACAGCTTCAACGGTAGTGTTTTCGTTAACTCTCTGGTTTACATATGTTCCATTGCAGCACAAAAACAATTTACCAATGCCGAATTGAAACGAGATCTCTACTCGTCTTTTTACGTACACACACGTATAGCAACTCCAATTTCTTTTCGGTGGTTTTTGTTTCGGGATGGCAGCTAATTACCAAACGGATGCCACGTGATAGCAAGAAATAGGGAAAGTTGATAGGAGGCGGTGATGGTGGTGGTGGCGGGGTCGATGAAATTCCAACATACAACTTCCGGGGCTATCAGTTGGTGACCTTCACCGATTGATCGCCGTCGCAATGTGTATACCTTGTTCATATAATCTGAATACGTGAAACAAATACACTTTCGAAACATATACGCCCACAATCGATGTCACCAATCAGACCACGTTAGTCCCTTACTTTCATGTTTAAATCTGCATTGTTTAATGCACACTTTTCATCCTCCTTGGGAATAGTTTTTCGCTTCACTCACACGTCTCTTTTCTTCTTGTAATGCTTCAGAAGAGTACGAAAGAAACACGTGATCGTCCCCAGTTTGAACAGATTCGTCACTATGTGGCCGAGATCATGCCTGGTACAATGCCCATCATGCCTGTGATCCGGACCGAGCGGGTAAGTTTTCGATCGACAAAGTTGTTTTTGTTGTCCTAGTGGTTGTGGTGTTCTTAACTCGGGGATCATTTGTGTCGCTGTTTTCCATCACAGACATACTAAGCAGATTTCACATTTGCAAGGAAATTACTTTCTCTGCAACTGCATTGAACGAAACTTTTGGACTGGAGACTGACGAATGAATTTTTTTTCCAGCTTCCTCTACGCCCCGTTTATTTATAATTGAGACAAACATTAGGCAGACTGTCGCTATTATTTGATCTTGTATTTTTCCTGTATCCTTCGTTTCTATGTTTTTGATAACTGGAAGCTAATCCATGTCAGTCCCTCTTTACATTGCAATGAACGACCTCACCGAACGTCTCACCTCTTGTCATGTTGCCACGCGCGGACGCAGACGCATCTATTTATCAGCTCAATTTTTGATCGAGACATAATACGCGCTATACGTTTTTCAACTCTAGAGGGCTTTACCGATTTACCTTTCCTAGTCTGTTTCCTACTGGAGGTCGTTTGAACGGTTCCCAATCACCCAGTAAATCAGGTGCAAACCCCATTCGCATAATCTACGCAAAGTGGCCATTACATTCTGACTACTTATAAGCAGCAAGTAGATAAATTCGCATCTGTAATGCTAACCAGAGTCAATTTGCCATCACTATACCCTATCCTGCGAAAAAATAATTGCTCTGGTATTATAATTGTCTGAAATCTACGAAAAAAATATCACTTTCAAAAAGAGTTTTTCCGTATTCCTTCGCTATCAAACCAGTCTATTGATTTCCTCAGTGAATATTCGATCAGGTAGAACCGACATTCGAATTGACCGTTAACAAACTTGGTATTGGTTGGGAAAAAGTATTCTCCCACCGGTCACTTAGGTTTTTATCGGTTTCTAATGTTACTTTTTATCGGTGCTCAGATGAAAACTGATAAATAGCGGAACTCTTTTTTGACCGGGATAGGAAAATGTATATTGTTCACATTTACCTCACCATGGTGGTGTGGTGTAAGTGCCGTTGCTTTAGACTGTCCATCATTCAGACATCATCTTCCAGCGCAAACTGGACTTGACCATTTTGGATGTGAGTTTGTTGGCACAATTATAGCAAAAACACGCTTTCTATGCGACGAGTTTGGAGTTTGCACTAATATTGTGCTCTAGCGCTGGCGAAACTCGATTGTAGTGTTTCCCAAATGTATGGCTCGATGGACAAACTGAGCAGAATAAAATCGGAGTAATCGCCGGTCCGACTCAATGTATGTTGTCACACCCGATACTGTTTTCATCCAAGCACAAATTGCCATCTATCCAGCTAAATATCGCCAGGTGGAAACTTCGCGAATGAAGTGTCTACTCGGATCCAGAAGGCTCGATTAGCAGTTGTCAACTATAGACATCTGTGGCGCCATCGCGAAATCCGGCTGTTTACGAAGGGTCACTCGCATGCTGAAGCATTTCGACTAGTGCTGCTATACAGTGAAAAGACTACCATAAACTATCCGTGTTTGAACATCGCATTGCACGAATCTAGTGGGGCAACCGGATGAGCTTTGTCGAAATTGAGCACAGAGTTTTAGTCAATCACTGGGTCACGTGATCGACCTCTGTATATTACGTTGTTTGGGGCATGTGTTACACATGCTTCTAAGTACACTGCCACGGAATACAATGTTTTCCGAGGCAGGTGACGGTTAGAAAACGGTAAAAGTTGGTATAAAAACATGAAACCGGAGATCCTGTGATATAGGTCGGGTTAGGCTTTCTGGGTCAAACCCTCAAGATCACACACGGCGTGGTGTGTCTAAGTGTCACAAACGGTGACATTGGTACATCTGAGTCTCTACTAAAATTCTCTATTTTCACTTTGATACTACTTTCAGAATTTCAACCTTCTCTCCGAAGGGACACTTAAAAGTTTGAAACCAAAACCACCGTGCGAAGGTGCATTTTTAATGATTGTAAAAACTGATTTTAACTTTCGTTTGGTGTTCTTGTGTAAACTAACGGCATGTTTACCGATCCCATTCAATGTGATACCTTTCGGATCACCGTTTTCCACTCTCCTTCGTCTGCAATCAGAAATTACTCAGTCCTACTGAACTAGCCAATGATCAGGTGGGCGAAATGATCCGCCTCCTCGAAAGTCGATTGGTTAAAGTGACCGGTCCGAATGGGATGATGCATGTGAATGAGTTTGTCGGAACACTCACTTCCTCGATCAACTCGCCTGTCTCTGGCGGTTTGCCCAAATTGTTGGTAAGCCTTTCGGTTCATATCACCCCGTATGCAGAGATTTTATCTGCCCGGTGCCTGTAGGCTTGTCCTGATCAGCCACACTTTGTCTTTGTGTCTTTTTGGATTTGTAGTGGGTCACCATCCCTTCGATACTATAGATTCCAGTCGATGGGATTGTTGTCTTTCACAAACATTCAATTTGCTGAACATCTGAGGTGCATCTACTGCTGAACTGGATGATGACCTACCTGCACAGTGATTGCTTGCAGAGTTTATAATCGGAATCAGTATCCACCCGCGGGTACTTGCATCATTTTGTGTTTGATTTTGATCGAAAGCAATAAGGACAACAACTTTGTGGCGCCAATGTCAGTGACTGGTTACATTTCGATAGTGGATGAGGTTGATGAGGCAATGGAAGCTGTATGAATTTCGAGATAGACGATTGGTTGATACTGAATCACGCATTGTTGTACTTGAATAGTTGCCCTTTGTTTTCTACAGTTTCCGGTTGCGCAGCAGTGTCCAGTTTCTGCTTCCTGCATACATATTTGTCAGGTGTATTTTAACACGAATCAGAAACACCCAGAAATTCTTGTGTCTACTCTCCCAGTTTCTTTTTTGGCGATCTGTTGAATTTTTTCATACGTGTATTACATATTTTTTCTATCTCTGATCCTGTTTTTTTGTATTTTAGGAATCTGTCGAACTGTCAGACGATATCGGTCAAGAGAACAGTTTCTCTACNGCCGGTCTGGAAGCGTGGTACCGAATTGATCCACCACCCGGTCCTGGCGTTCGTCTGGGTGACCCGAACGCCTCGGGCAATTTCAATTTGCAAACTATGGTGGACAGTTACGAGACCCTAGTCCGGGATATGAGTTGCAAATTCGGCTTTGCTGTGGCCCACTTGAAGGCTAGTCATCTGCGCTACGGTTTGGATAGTACGGTACCCGCGTCACCGTCATTCAACACCGGAGGCGGCTTTGGTGGTGGTGGTAGTGATTGTTCTGGACTAACCGAACGTCGAGCCAGTTCCGGCGCGACCACACTGCTGCGGTCCGTCGCGTCCGGTGCGGCGTTCCTCGGGTATGTTTTTCAATCGGTGACAGGCTTCTTGATGACACTTCTTTTCAACTTTCACCGATTCGCGTTACTTGGGATACCGGGACTACATATCAGATCATGGTTTACCTAGCTTTCTGTTATTAACATGATGGTTTCGGTCATGTATATAGAACAACGGAAAATCTGGGAAGCCCTGCCCAGCTCCCTTCCCCGTTTTGGACTGCATCAACAATCCTAATTCATCGACCCAACTGTGAGGGTTGAACTCAGAACAAAGTCATCACCTGAAGTGTAGTGCGAAAGTGAGTGAGGTAAGATGCCCTGCAAAAAATTTGCAAAAATCTGGATTGTGCTGTGTTGTGTGTGCATTGATGAAGTGAAACAGTCTGATCAGCCGATCCCGGTGTTCGAGTACGTTCCACCTAGATTGAGTC